ATCAATGCAAAAATGTTCGGGTGTACATGTCCCCAGGGTTGATTTATCTATTTAATCGACAACGTTGTTGTTGTCGCTGGGGCCAGAGCAACAGGGATTGGGGGCAGTAGGCGGTGGGGGTAGCCTGTCAATATTTAAAACGTTGTCCTTGTCGCTGTTACTGAGCAGGAACTCAACCAACACACTTGGACGCTCTGCGTGCTTAACAAGAGTTTATTGAATTTTATTTTCTCATCTCAATTTGATGTGCGTGCCCCTTGTCCCCGCAACAGCGTTCACCCCTAAATTGTGAGCTACATTTCTTGACAATTTCGTCCTGTCGCTTAAACTGGGCAACAGATTGTCTGCCCTATTTTGTGGGGCGCAGGCGTCTAGTGCATTTAAATTTCAAATTATTTTATTGCTGCTCGCCAAAATAATTGAAATTTTAGTTAGAAAACTCGATTTTTTTTTTATTTTGTTGCTTGTAAATCGCTTATTATAAATTTCTCTTATAAATTTCTACGCAGGCGGAAAACTTTTGCGCCGTGTTCTCGTTGCCCAAGTTTTCCGATTACGGATTAATGTAATTTTATTTTTTATTTTATATACGCAATATATATATATATATATATATATACATAATTTTTTTTTTATTTTGTGTTATGGGAGAGCGTACTTTATGTATGCGTATTTGTTGACTTATATGCAAAGTCTGCTGCTGACCCCTCCGCGGGCTGTTTGTTTGACAGGCGTTTCAAAGTTTGATGAATTTTTAAATTTAAAAAGTTTATTTGTGCATTTCTAAGTTAGCTGTTGGCTTATTAGAAGTGCAGGCCGGACAAACGGAAAACGCCATCACCCCGAACCCCAGCAGCCACTCTCACTTCAAAGCCGGCGCTGGCTTTGACACTTTGTTCATGTTGCTTTGTAGGCACAAATTTTTTTCATTTTCTTTTTTTTATCTTTGGCTTATTTGTTCTGCAGCCGCAGCCACAAAGTACATTTTCAGTTAAAATTAAAATGTTGTGCATTAAACGCGATTTTTATTTGTTTGGCTGTGCGATCTGAGACTTTAATGCCGAGCTCAGATTCTATTGACAGCTCGAGGCTATAGCACTTTTATATTGTATTTTCTGTGTCATATATCGTTATTAAAGCCACTGGCTGTTTGCGAATTTTTGTGAAAAATATTTACTAAATGCAAACCACTAGATTTTATGCGGTTTGATTATTCTGTTCAATTCAAAATGTTTGCTTTTTGAAAATGTAATGCAATTACACAAGCTAACAAATCTTCGAAACGAATATCCTCTGATTTTCATTTAAGTTTTAAAACTATGATTTTAATTTATTAAGCAATACCACAGACTTCTGTCCTTAATGTTAATGTTTGCTTTGCATTTTAATATCCCAACCTATTTGAAACACGGAAAACCATCATCAGACCAGAATGCTCGTTATATAAATATTACGTTGAAGCAATTGTTGACTTAACGCAAAAAACATTTATAAATAAAAAAATTCATTTGATGTAGGTGTTTTTTTTTTCTGGCCGTCTATCCGTATGCATTGTAAAACATTTTCAACATTTGGCATATATGCTACATTTACATGTTGCCCCGGAAACAATAATGGCAATAACATGACTCTGTTGCGCATATGTACGAAATTATGTAATAATAAAAACAATACAGCCAAAACAAATATGTATATTCATATTTGTTATACTCCACCCCGTGCCTGTCGGGATATTTTACAGCATTTATTGGCCATAGTATTAGCTTTGTGCAAAATAAATGCAGCTCAAAAAAGGGTTAATGGTTTTAAATGGGGGCAAGCAGGTCGGATAGTGAAGGGGCCGGGCGATTCATTCGGTTGCCTGATAAACAAAATCAATTACAGATAATTTAACGCGACGCCAATGCTATTGTTTGTTTGCTTGTATACTCTGCGGGCGGCTTTTAATAATGTCATTTAGTTGCAGTTGAAACCTTAACGATTCGCGCAGTTGTGACAGCCAGGATATGTCCTGTGTGTGTACGACAAATCGATAATGAACGCGAATGGACACATTTACAGCTGAACAGACACACACGCGCACACACACACACACACACACACACACACACACACACACACAAATACACAACACCATGTTGCCTCAGGACCAAAAGCAACTAAAAACTGTTAGTCAGTTGCCAAAAGGGGAAGAGGCATGCTGGCTTGAGGCTAGCGGCAACTGGACACTGTTTTTATGTGCAACTTGCAACAATTTGCAGCGACATTTTGAACGCCAACTAATCAATATGGGCGACATGTGGTCACACACGACTGTGTATGTGTGTCTGGGGAGGCGCAACTGGGGAGCAACTGCTGGCACGTCAGCTCGTAAGTGCACGCCAAACAATTGCGGTTAATGCTCGCATGTGCGAGATATTTATGACTGATAAATTAATAAAGCGAGCGACCTCACAAAACTTGCAATGCGGCAGGCAACATTGAGGCATATGAAAAGTTCTCTATGCAACAGTGGCCAGCTGCTAATGAATGCAACCCCAATAAAGGCGCATGAGAGGCACCAAGCACAACATCAATCCATCAAGCACTATTTAAGAGAATAGCACATTCTGTATGTTAACTTTAAGCTGGGCGCCGAAAATTTGCCAATGCTGTGGCACTCACTTAAGCTCTGGTGGGTCAAATTTAACCAAACAAAAAAAAGAAGGGCTGCGCCATAAATATATTCACGACCCCACAGACTACTCGAGTACTAATCAGTATGCCAGTCACATGGTCAAGCGGTTGCACATTATTTTATTACGCACAATTGAGTCGCACGATGTCCCGCCCATCGATGGGCAACGCCACAAATACTTGTGTACGTGTGAAAAACTCCACAACAATAAAAACAACGCAGGATGGGATGAACAAACAAGTAAGAGTGCTTTAGTGGGCGTGCTTGACTAGGAGATACCCTCAATCCAGCGCCGAGCGGCCGCAACAAACATTCTAGTTTACTTCTATACACATGTGCGTACATATATACGCAAAAACTCACGTATGTACACATTAAAAAGACTCCCATACATTAAACATACGCGCCGCAAGCTGCACTGTGAAAGCAGCGACTGCTTCTTCTTTCTTTAGCCATGGAAAATTCGTTCTTCAATAACTTTGGCATTTAGTGTCCTATCTTTATAAAAATTCAGACCATAATCCCATTGCAGACATCAAATTGCATCTAAATTTTAAATCTTAAGACTATACCAACAAGGAGAATCATCAAAAAAATGAAATCTTCTGGATCTCTGTTTATCATACAAGAGTCCACATATGAAATTTGGTATAATAAGTTCTTACAATTGTGACTAGATTGTGTCAGTCGTAATGCTGATAAAGTGTGTTTGTCCCCTTTGGGATATGCTCCTACTGCTTATTACAATCAATTGCCATTACACCTTTTAAAGGGGTTCAAGGTGCAATACAAATATTGAGAAAAGCACAAATCGAATTGCATATACGAATGAGATATAACAACGATATAAATACTATACTTCTATAGTAATTAAAATGCATTTAACTATTTGTACAAATGATACGTTTGGTCAGTCTGGCGTCAGTTGGTCGTATAAGAAACAAGACATATGGCATGAATATGTCAAAAAGTTGGCTGGGAACGCAAACAGATTGTTATTTAGCTCAAATCTGCTGTAAATGTTAATAAAAAATGAATTTCTTAAGAACTAACTTGATATAGTTGAACTTAAAGCTAGTTGAATTTAACAAGTTTAAAACTGAATAAATAGTAACATCCAAAACAACACAACAACAGTAATACGAATACAACATCAAATGAAGTTGGAGAACTACTCGGTGAGAGCGAGAGCGAGATAGAGAAAGATAGAGACAGAAATAGAAAGGCGGAGAGAGAGAGAGAGAGAGAGAGGGAGAGTTATAGATGGTAAGTGTGTGTTAAGCGCAATTAGTTAAGTGATCAAGTTAGTAAAATGTTCTAATTGTTCTAAACCTACAACTACGACAAAAGTTATTCCACACGCAGAGTAGGAGATAGCGAAATAGTTGGGAAATATCTAAACTACTTGAGAGTATCGAATAAAATGAGTGTGTCGAAAAAAAAGCAGAGCTTATTTTTGTTAAGTTAATTTGGAATGCAGTGTATTTTTTTGTTGTTGTTAGCGTTTTAGGGAACACACAAACCTTTTTAGGAGAAGATAAGTGTAGTGAAGTTGGCGATGGCATAGAACAATCAGAAGATGCAGAGCTGCAGCCGCTACTGCCGCTGCTGCACCCAACGACGCCGGCAAGCACGGCCGGCGGCGGGCCCAGCAACGAGACTAGACGACCGCCGTCGCCGAACGAGAGGCCAGCATTGCCGGGAGCAGCCGCGACGGGCTGCTTAGTAGTAGTGGTGGTAGATTTGGTAGTAGTTCTAGTTACATCACATAGATTAACTGTATTATTTACATTGATGTTCGGAGTGCTTGCCGCTGAGGTGGGCGTGGCAGCTGTAGCAAACATGGTGGCAGCGGCCACAGCGGCGGCTCCACTGCAGGCCGGTATGATTGTGAGCGGTGTTGTTGGCGCGGCAAAATACTGCGCTCCAACTGGTGGCACCCCAGCCGATGCATATTTACTGGGCGTGGCCGGTGCAGCGGCCACATTGTTAACCTGCAGTTGCATATACGTCTGCAGCATGGCCTGAGCCTGAACCTGTGCCTGCTGATGATAGTGGTACTGCTGCTGTGCGGCCTGTTGATGTTGTTGCTGTTGCAGTTGGAACTGCTGCTGCTGCTGCTGTGCTTGCTGCTGCTGCTGCTGCTGCTGCTGTTGCTGCTGCTGCTGATGTTGATGCTGCGCGGCGGCGGCCGCGGCTGCCGCTTGCTGATGAATCAGCATGGCCTGTTGCTGCTGCTGCTGTTGTTGTTGCTGGACGGCGACGATGTTGCTTTGCTGCAACATGGCAGTTGTGGCGCCCGTCGGATACGCCTGGTACGCGGTCGCAGCAGCGGCTGGATGCTGCAGGTGCAAATGATGCGGATGCGTTGGCGGCGCTGCTTGCAACAGTTGCATTTGCTGTGCGTGGTGTGAATTTATGCGCTTTCAGATTATTTTCGATATTTTTGTTGGAGGCTTTTTTGAGGTTGAGGTTTAAGTTTCAGTTTGGTTTTACATTGGCTGATTTGGCAAATGTTGGCAAACAATAATCCGACAAAAACCGATAACAAAAAACAACGTTGTTCCAATTGGCAAAACAAAAATATATATATTTGTTATATATAGTAAAAACAATATGAATTTGGTAAAACTTAAAGGTTTTTGGTAAAGCAAATCAAAATAGCAACTCATTAGTACCGCAGAGTCGCCGTTGATTGAACTGACCGTGCCTCGCCTAGTGGGTAAATAATAAATTGCGAATCCGACTAAAAGGTAGGTTCGAGTGAGATTTGCAAAGCTGCTTTGCAGTGGCAGCAATAAATAGTGTCAAAATTAGCAGTAGTAAAAGTGAGAGCAGTGACTAAATGTTAGAGAGTTCGTTTAGTTAAAACTACATTAGATCAATTAGCAAGAGAGGGAGAGAGAAAGACAGCGAGATAGAGATAGTAAGAATTGAGTAGAAAAAGCAGAGCATTAGACAGACATAGCAGTAGCATAGTAAAGAATCAGAGGAATAGAGGTGTTAGCTAGTTTCAAGACCAGAACTCGGGCTAGCAGTTGTGTGTGTATATATAAGTCTCAGATTACGAGCTAACGAGCACCTTCACCCTCCACAGCCTGAGCGAAAATGAAAACGGACATAGAGTCCACAGGCCATGGAATTTTTTGTATATTCTCTTTGCAGTAAATCAACACCAAACAACTCTTCAAAGACATGAACCTTAATAAATGTGTTTTCCTTTAAAACGCACATTAAGTCAATGGTCAGAGGAAACTCCAATTTAATATGAATAAAGAAAAATTTAGCTTCGACAAGCCGAAGATATAGTACTCTTGCAGTTACAGTCGTTATATTCCTGTGAGTTAAGCTGCATTCAAATTTATCTTCACCAAAGCCAAAAGGTCAAATTGTACACAAATATACCTTTAAGAGTAGAAATAAAATACTTTGAATTATTCCTCTCTCAGTTTTGTGCAAGCCTATTTGCACGAAAAATATATTTTTATACTCTCTGCAAGTGTATTAATCTTTTACATATATCCACAGATATAAGTTGAGTTTGTGTATTTACAAGAAAAGTGGCAATAAAAATAAATACAACTAAAATGGCTTAAATGAATGTTTTTAAATTAAATTCAAGAGCCAACGAAATTTGTTACGCATGTAAAAGATAGTTTACAACTTCACAACATCGGAAGAGAAAAATCAGATGGTAAGAGGCATAATTATTGAACTGAAACATTGACTAGTTGATTAGTTGTTAGATTTTAGGCTCGTATAGCTCGTAACTGAATTGCTCATAGTAAGAGATGGGTAGTAAATATGTAAACGTTAGAATAACTAAAAATATAAGTAGGTATTATATGAATAGCTTCTTTTTGCATAGTAAACTGTACAATTGTTTTTTTTTTATGATGATTATAAAGTAGTTAATTCGATTCGATTTGATTGTATTGTTATTTAATTATAGGTATGTATGAGTATTAACAAAAAGGAAACGTTGGCTTCAATTTTCAATGGATCGATCAATGATTAAATATATCAAATTTCGTCAACTCTTTTTATATTGATATATAATTTTCTTTTTTCAATGTCAAATTTTTATTTGCGTTTCTTTTTGAAGTGCATTTTGTGCTCTTTTTTTTCGGTTGTTAGGATGTGGGCGGCGCTTACCATGATTAAATCTTGTATAGGGGAGGACTCGGCTGTTGAATCAGATGCAACGATTTCGCTTTTTACCGTTAACGGCGGTGACGGAGTTGCTGCGGCTGTTGCAACAGTTGTGACGACGGCAGCGGCGGTGGCGGCGGCGGCTGCAGCGGCGGTGGTGGTTCCGACTGTCGGCGGGGCGGCGTTGGCGCTGGCAAGCGACGCTTGAGAGCTGCTGCTGATACTGAGCGCTGCAATCGCTGCTGACGCCGTGGTTTCTGTTAACGCGGCAATGATGACAGTTTTATTGGCAACAAATGTTGATTGAAAAATTTCTATATTCTGCACTTTTGTTTGTTTTTTTTTTTTTAGTTTTATTTAAGTTGCGTTACGTTTTCGCTTTGTTGCTCTTAATTTGTTCTTATTTATTAATTGTTGTATTTGTCTTGCGTTTTATTATTATTTTTTGGGTATTTTCTTGTTATTTATTTGGTATTTTCTTGATGAGGGAATTGCACGGGTTTTGGTTTTGGGTAGTCGAGAGTTAAGTGCTTGTGTGTTTGGTGAGCTTGTTTACTGTCGAATATACAAGTATATTTATATATATATATTCGAAATATCAATATATATATATATCTATGCCAATTGAATAATTTTGATTAGTCTGCCAATTGTGCTCAAAAGTTTTACGCAAATTGTTGCAAAGTGCTGAGATTGCAATTACGTCTACTTGAGTTTGAAACACGTTTAAATTGCGCTAACACGTATTTTTCATTTAGTATATACTGAGTTGTATTTGAGCGTAGTTTTAAGTTTTTTACTAGCCTGCAGATTGTCTAGCTTTTATAGTGCTATATGTGTATACCTATATCACTACTGAGATTGAATAATAATTAGACATGTATAATATGTTTTGTATTGTGTATATCAATGTATATATCTAGATTTAGATGTATAAGTATAGGTATATGTAAAGTGTATAGCGTAAAAGTTTTGAAAACCGTTTGAAGATTGTTTAAAGTTTGAATGATTGATTGATTAAGCCTTAAGTTAAGTTAAGTTAAGGGGGAAATTGCCTTAAGATTGTCGTGGAGTTTTGAAAGTATTTTTGTAGTTTGAGGTTTGATTCGAGTTGAGAGCAAAAGTTGCGAAAAAGGTTCTTTATAAATATAAATATATTGAATAGCTGTGTGTATACACTATATATATGGTATAATGCTCTGATTATTGCCTGACTTTTGAATGCTTTGATTGCTGCTACTCAATTTCGGCCCTAAATATATACGCTAATTTTTACTGATTGTCAAAACGCGTACTCTTGTCGATCGAGGCATCAAGACCCGGCGATTTCTTTGTCTAACCCTAAGAAAAATTACCTTCAAATATGTTCGGTAAAAACTTAACCAACTGCAACTGCAATTAGTCAAGAGCTAATGAAAAAATCGTTTCTTTTGATTGACACCGTTTTTTTATTTTTAAATCTAGTATTTAAGTGATTCTTGCTACAATTGACTGCTTCATGAATTCAGTTACAACCAATTTATTATGATAGACATATTACAGACACGCACAAACAGATGTGAATTTGCATTTGATTTTTTGTTTTTTTTTGTTTGTTTTTTTTTTTTACTTGTGTATTTGTATTTAGTGTGTATGAACGGTAGTTTTTTCTCTATTTTTGTTTTGATTAATCTGCACTTTTAATTTTAGCTATAATTAAAAAATGCTAATTACTTCTGTGCATTTCCTCTTATGATATGTTGGTATTTATCTGATCTGATTGCTGCTGCAACGCCTTTTGTAAATATTTATACTTATTTTCAATTCAACAACCTTTTCATTCTTCAAAAACCCTACACTTTACTCACCAGAAAACAAATTGGAAAGAAAAAGGACGCTAAATATTAGGTTCCGATTCGGTTGGGACTGGAAATGGGGGCACAATAAATGCTATACGTAACCCTTCACTAAAATGCTATCACCTTTTTAATCCCTTCGCTTTTATTGGCTAAGCCTCTCCTTTTCACTTAGCGACCAATCTATTGCCTACCTGTGTCTTAATTGATTTTGCCTTTTATTTGTTTTTTCTTTGCCAGGCAACTTGCAAATTACGCTCAAAATTAACAACAAAATATATAATTCACTCTAAGAATTCTTAACAACTTTTTTACTTCATATATATAATTTAATTTAAAAAATTTGACTTCTTTGTAAATAGCTTTTCAATATCTTTCCAAGTTGGCGCTAAAATGTACACAAATCTTTCTTTTTTACTTTTTTTTTTTAATACTGTTCTTTAAATTCGCATTTGATTTGATTTCTCATCTGTTTTCAGTTGCGAAAATCAAAATCTAGTTAAATTTGATTTCCTCTGTTTTTTTATTAAGGGGCATTCGCGCCACACAAAAACTTAAAATTAACAACAATTTGCCACTTTGTTCGGTTTTGATGCCTTTTGTGCCGTAATGCCTAATGATTTTTATTATTTTTTTGAATGGGCTCTGTTTTTGTTTCTGTTTTGTTGGGGTTCTTTGGGATTTTGTTTGGAATGGTGTGGGAAAGCGTGTGATTTGGGCACAGAAAAATACCAGTTGATTCTTGTTATTTATATTAATATTTTTTGATCTTTTGCTTGCTTGTACTGTTTGTTAGAGGAAATGTACAAATAGCGAGATTAATAAGGACGTGTCGGAATTTCGATAATTTCTATATTTTGAAGGGTGAGAATAAAGGGGAATAACAAAAAAAAAACATTTGCAAAAGAAAACTATCAATTTAAATGCAAGTTTTTGTTTCTTCTTTTAAGTTTCGATCTAAAATAGACGTAAGTGCCAATGGAAAATTAAAAAATTCTCGTCACTTTTTCTTTTTCATAATTATTTCTGTAGTTGGTTTTTTTTTATGCCAATTCAAAACCAAACTTGAAACTTAACCAAAGGATGGACAAACAAAAGAGAAACTAAATGAAGCGCAAACAATTAACAACAAAATGGCACAAAATAAGTAACAAAAGTACACAATGGGCATGAATACTTAATAAAAATGTTGCTCTTATTACCAATTAAATGTCGAGTCAAAGTCGTTGAAGTAGATGAAGTGCTGTTTTTTATTATTTTTTTCTTTTTTTTTTCTTTGTTAAAGGTTGTTGATTTTTTGTTGGTGCTTTTAGATTTTTGTGTTTTGTCTTTACTATTTTTTTTTTATATTTTATTATATGTAACTTTGCCGCTTTAAATGTTGCTAATGCGTTTTGTAGTTGTTGTTGTTGTCGTTGTTGTGTGGTTACTTGTAATTATGGCTCTGAAACAAAACAAAAAATTTGCCTTTGAATATTTTGTGCTCTTCTTGGCTCAAGTGCGTTTAAAGTTTTGTTTTTGTGAAGAGATTTTGTATGCTTTTGCTTCTTTTTTTTTCATTGTGTGATTTTTGCTGATTTTTTGTGCGGTTCGCACAAGAACACGTTTTCAGACCAACAAAAAAAAGCAAATGAATGACTCTTGGCCAACTCTGAAGCTCTGAAGCAGCCTGGTTCTAACAATTGTGCGAGCGCGTTGCTCTCTTCGTGATTAGCACGCACGAAATTTCTTTACCTTTACCGGTTTTCTTTACTTTTCATACATTCTTTTTTTTTTTTTGCCTGACTCACACTTTTGGCTTTGGGATCGTGCAAAAGGCAGCGTTGCCAAGTTAGAAAAGAGCTCAAAACAGATTCAGATATGAAGAGCTAGAGATATACATATATGAGCGTAGGCTCTGCACTCTCGCGATTGGAGACGTGTAATTACAACAATAAAAATAAACTACGGGAATTATTTCGATGCGTACTAAGTACGGGATGGCGGCCAAGTTGGAGAGCGAGAGTGAGAAAGAGAGAAGCGGCGGCCGGGCGAGTGAAGTGAAGTGAAGTGAAGTAAAGTGAGTGTGCGGCCTATTGGAACGTTAGCCATAAGGTTTTATGGCTAGCAGACACAGACGACGACGAGGCGACGGAGACGTCGTTGAATGGCCGCTACATGTCTGTTTTTTTTTTATATTTATTTCTTTTTTTTTTGTGTTTTGCCTGTTTTATTTGGGTTTTCGATTTGTTTTTGCTTTTTGGCCCGCAAACACAAAAACGTGTTTCGTTGTTTCTGCTCTGACTTGCAGTTACCTTACCCCTCTGCCGGCTCCTGCATTGTTTTGTTTTTTTTTTTCTTTCTTGCCGGCTTTGAAATTTCTTTGGTTTTCTGAGCCTATATATGTATGCCTGAACGGACCGACCGGAGCTATGCTGGTCGCTCTTGACTGAGCAACCGAATCTGAGAGCTGGGCTGGGGCTGTAGCTCAGTTTAGAACGTGTTGTTGCTTCTGGCTTCTACAGTTAATAAGAATCAAAATCGAGTCGGCGAGCAACGAACTTTTAGCCAGCAATTCTTTTTATTGTTATTTTGTGTACATACGAGCATTGTGTACATAAATATATTTAGAAAAAAATATTTTGCGCTTTTTGCGAGCACAAAATAAATTTTTTTAAATTTTATTTTATTAAAAATATCATTTTTTTTTTTTTTTTTTTGGTTTGCCTAATGAATTTTTGCTTACATCTTGTGGTTGTTGCTGTTGTTGTTGTTGAGTATTAGAAGATACAAAATAGCGATACACTGATAGCTTTTAAGTTAAGTTCGAGTTGGGAGTTCAAGTTTTTAAATATTTGTAGATCTTTGTTTTTTCTGTTTTTTTTCTTGTTAGCACTCACGCAAAGTGAAAAGTCGAGAAAAGCCGTATGAAAAAGTTTGCGGATTTTATTGTTATTTAGATTTTTTATTTTTTTTAAGTTGTTTGAAGATTTATTTATTTATTCCGAACTTGGCGATTTGGCGATTTTTTTTGACTATTTGATATGCTGCGTGTGTTTTTTAATGTACGCGTGCTATTTGCGAGACGTTGTTGCTGGTATTGCGGCTGTTTTCGATTTGAACTCAACTTTGATTTGGATATTGAAATTTTCGTGAGTGAGCGAACGCGCGTGTGGTTGTGTGTGTGTTGCTGCTGCTTCTGCTTCTGTTATTGTTGTTGCTGCTGTTATGGGGGTTTGCGTTGGTGGTAGTGTTGGTGTTGGTAGTGGTGGTTGGTTTGTGATGTGTGTGCTGGCTGCGACGGCGACGGCGACAGCGGCGACGGCGACGACGACAGCGGCGGCGGCTCGGCGGCGATGCGGCTACTACTGACTACGGCTACTCTGTTGATGATGATAGCCAAGAGCTCTAGAACTCAACTCAAACTCAGCTCTGAGAAGCGACTGAACGGCGTGCGTGTTATTCTATAGCCAGGTGTGTTTGTTGTTGCTGTTGTTATTATTGTGCCAGTTCTTGTTGTTGTTGTTGCTTTTATACTACATATGACTTCTATAGAGCGAACGAGCGAGCGAGCGTACGAACGGCGGACAGAATTGGAACGGGTTAAAGCAAAGACTGTACGAAGACTGAAGTAAGAACGACTGGCATTCTAAGGTAATATACCTTTTTTGTTTCGGAGTGCGACAGCGCTGCCGTCGTCAGATTGAATCTGTTGCGCCAACGCCGACGCCAACTGCGGCAGCAGCAGCGTTAGCGACAGCGACGCGTGTTAACCAAAATAAAGCAACAGTAGAGGCCAGAACCGGACGAGTTCGACACCAAGAGATGCTAGCTCGTGTGAGAGACGACGACGACGACGACGATGACGACGATGACGACGACGACGTCGAAGACGGCAGCGTAGGTCGGCAGCATTTCTCCTGCAAGCAGCGTTAACTCCGAAAAAACTGCTTTCGGACCGCGTAGCACACCTTTTGCCATGCTCCTCTCGGCTCTCTTTCGCTCTCTCAGCTGTTGTTTGTTACCTGCCGGTTCCTTGGCTCGTTGCCTCTTCAACGTTCTTTTGCCTTTGATATTGCCATTGTTGTTGTTGTTGCTGTTGTTTCTACTGCTTTGAGACGCTTCATATTGAGGCCCGGCTTTTGTGGTGGTGCCTCAGGTGCGCAATTATTAAACGTCTTTTGTTCATTATTTTTCTTGTTGTTGGTTGTCTTCATCGTCGTCGTCGTCGTCGGTGACTAGGCGCGATTTGGTAACGTGTTCATTGTGTGCAAAGCCCCATGACTTTGGTTATATAACACTCGTATAAGTTGTGCATGAGGCGTATAAGACTTTTGAGGATCAGATGGGGCTGGCACATGCTAAGTGGCTTACCTGAGTAGCCGACGCTGTGTAGTTCACCTTCGTGCGACAGGACACTCGCTGCTGCTGCTACGATTCTTGCTGTTGTAATTGCAGTAACAACATTACTGGCACCCACCTATACCCACCCACGCACACACACGCACACATGGGCCATGTGAGACAGCAAATGCAAGCGCCATGCGTGCGCTCCCTGCCTGTGACCGCTAGTGAGTGCAAGCGAGCGCGCGCGTTACAGTGCGAGCGAGAGAATGCGTGCAAGAGAAATGGAAAATGGAAAATCATGGGGCAGCGAGCGCCGGGTGACGGGCAGAGCGTGCAGCGCAAAAAAGGCAAAACAACAACGACGTCGTCGTCGGCAGCGGCAGCGACGACAAAATCAACGAGAAAATAATAATTGTTACACCTGCTTCGGAAATGCGCGCAAGGGGTGGAAACGTAGCGCCCAACACACGACCAACGGCGGCATCGACGACGACGACGACGCCGGCGACGAAGCAGCGTTCGCTGTCAGGTGAGCGTCGACGCTTTTGCCACCCCCAAAAAAAAAGCGAGTGTCGCAGCTGTCGTGATTAAATGCCGAAGCACGGAAAACCGAACCGCTTTTCCGATGAAGCCTAACGAACGAGCCGATGCTGCCGCCTGCCGTCGCATCGCGGGCTGTTCGTGTGCGAGAGTCCGAACGTACGCAGCGCGCATGCCCCAAGGTGCAAATACAACGTAGGTGTGAATGAGGCAGAGTGCGAGTTGTGGGTGGCCGATACGACTGGGGAAAACGAATTGTTCAGGGGTTGTTTCCGTCGTTTTTTTAGGGGAAGCTTCTGAGGGGAAGGGACAAACTGCTAACGTTGCCACTGTTGATGGAAAAGCTTTTCGGGGAAAGCTTTTGCTAGAACATTTGGTAATAAACGAGCAACAGTTAAGAGTCAATTGACTTGTTGGTAATAAAGGTCACACGTCGACTTAATAATAGTGTAATTAGCACATTTAACTTACCACGTTCGATTGGTAAAGAAAAAATTAAGAAAGGCAGTCATCTTTACATTTGATAAGCACACACGCAAAAGCGGAATATAGTTGAAATACTGATTTATAAAAAGATTCGTTGATTTTATGGGATTCTCTTACAGCTAAGATTTTAAGGTAGAAAAAATGTTTTAAAATGTTTTACAAATCGATTCAATGCGATTCAAAATGTTAATAAAAACATTTGGATCAGCAACTGTTTTGTTGGTTTATGGTTGTTGCCCAGCGATAAAAAACCTTTTGGTCACTAAACATTTATGATAGGCGAAACACATTTAAGAGTTCAATGAAGAAGTTTCGCTTATAAACAAATTTAAAATATTTTAAAAGTTAAACAAAGTAAATACAGCAGGACATATTTCAAGATACTGATATTACTTGATAATTTAAGTTGAGAAACAAAAAACATGTATTTCTACTAAAGTCGAGTATAAATGTTGCCAGGATCTAAATTTATTTCGAAATTTACGGAAGTGTGTATTTTCCAATGATAACCTTTTATCGTATTTTTGATATTCAAGTACATAATACAAGTATTTTTGCTCTACTTATTTTGATATCTTAGATTTATAATTCTATTCCAGTCACACATATAAGCACTTAGAGCATTAAGTGCAATGACTTTTATCCTAATAATAATGTAAAACATTCTGATATGTATTTATAATTGGTGAATTTGATTTAACTAAAATAAAAATATACATGCACACACAAGCAAATATTGCAGCAGGGGAATATTAAGCTGTTAACGTAAGAATTAGTTGTAGGACCAAACCCGGAGTTTGTCTATAACAATTGGACTGTTAGCTTTTATTTGCAAAAACAAAAAAAGCCGTTGAATGCAGGTCTCATGAAGTGCACTTGTAAAAGTAAATCCTTTAATCCACACACAGTGCATAGAATGCAAATATTGTCGTCGATAACCAGCCAAAATCCTACAGATTTGACCGTATGATGCAGCACCGATAGAAATAAATTTCATTTATCGACACACTTTTCGGGTGCGATTCGCACTGGATACTGCTTCATTTTTTTTTTACAACTTTTAGGCTATTGCCCATGAGGAGCTAAGGGCCATTTTAGCTCTGTCAGCTGGGTATCCTCTTTCCCTGCCACGCCCCTCTCTCTAAAAGCATAAAGCCGATGCTGTGCATAAAAATTGCTTTGTTATTGTTGCAGGCGGCAACGTTGGCGGCGGCGTCATCGATGATGCCGCATTGAGTTGAGCTGTTGTAGTTGTAAACGGTTTATGGGATTTACGGGCAATTTGTTGCCAACTTTCATTGTTGTTACTGTTATCGTCGTCATCGTTGTTGTTGTTGTTGCGCCAAAAGGCATATAAAACAATATGCGCCCGGTCTAAGCTGGGCTCGTTAAATGATTTGCGTTTGTTTTTACTCACGCTCTTTATGCCGCATTAGCCTCGGCTCTTACTGCTCGCTGCTGCTCTTGTTGGTAGTTCAAAAAAATGTAAAATGGGGCTTACCTGCAACAGGCATAAAAAAAGAGTACAGGCCAGAGAGAAAGAGAGAGGGAGCGAGAGCCCAATGAGAGTAAATAAATTATTTACTTTCGTTTTATGCACAAATATTGATTAAGCTGTAAAATCGTTATACAACATTTTAGTGCCGACGCATCAAATTGTTCAATTGGTTGTGCGAATTTAGTCGCGTCACCCTCCACTCGTCATCCACCCATTTTTTGGCAGCAGTGTTGCAGCAACAAGTTGTGTGGGGCACAAAAAGTACAGCACTACACAAAAATACAAACAGAGAGCGCATAGAATGTGGTCTACCAGCCGCATTCAACATTCATGTCGCCACTAGACAAAGCGGGGGACCCCCCCATACAGATGTATATGTATATATGCACATATATCTGTATAATTTTTGCAAGTCGAGCGCAACAGCTGCCAGGGTAGCCAAAGGGGGCGGCGAGCAGCCAGAAGCAGACTAAGAGTCAGAGGCAGAGGCAGATGCAGTCAGTTGAACGGCTGGGCTGTGGCATGCAACAGGCAATGAATCTCAATCTCGGTAACGTTGTCGCTAGCTAGCTAGCTGGCTGACTTGCTGCTTGCAACGCAAGAACAACGAGAAGGAGCAACTCATGCCGTTGACTTTGGTAATTCAATGGCAACAACTCGCGGCCAAGGCAGCCGCTGCAACAGCACCGGACCCCGAGCCGCAGACGACATTCAACTTCAGCTTGAATGTTTTGGAGAGAAATATGCGGTAACAACATTTACTAGCCAGCCAGCCAGCCAGCCCTGTCTTGGCGACTCCCGACAGCGGGCAAGCGACGCAAAACCAACCAAGCAGCCAAGCAACAACAGCAACAACTTAACGCACGAAATAGTCAACTTGCCACATTTTAATTCAGTCGAATATTTCTTTTGCTGCCGCTGTTGCTGCATCGCTTCGCCAGTTTTTTCTCAGTGCCGCTCTTCGTTCTTATTGCAAATGGCATAAACGGAGAAATTGCATGCAACTCACACAGACACTGAAACTCACACACGCACGCAGACACACACACACACACACACACACACACACACACACACACAGAGTGACTGTGACTTGGCCTGCACTTGGCTCTGACCAAGGCTTGGAATGTCTTCTTCTCTTCTATTACTTTGTCTTGCGTTTAACTTGGCCGCTTGTTGCAGTTGCAGTTGCTGTTGCCGCACCACATTCCTCGAGTCTCTGCTTGCAACAACAGTGCCATGTGCAATGTGCAATGTGCGCTGGCAATAGAATTATAGTCACTATAGTTGCTGTCTCTTGGTTTATTTTAAGCTGAATTTATTACCACAAACGTTGTGCATTGTGCGAATGCGAAGAAGAAAAAACCTAGCCAAGAGCTGTGGATGCAAGTCGCTGACAAATGCAAATGAAATTGGCAAAGCGCTTGGTATTTTAGAAGTCATTCCCGGAACAATGTTTTCTGCAGGAAAATTAAATATTATAAAATTGTAATAATTGCAAAAAGAAAAAAATGCAGAAAGAAAGTAGAACACGGTCAAAAAAATCTTCGAGGATCGAATCGGTTCAGTCTCAAAGAGATTGACATCTGGCAAAAACATTTACTGAGAGTTTCAATATCTTACAAGCTTAAATTCGGGCATCTAAGTTTCTATCTACTTAACATAATAATTGTTTAAGATAAATTTATGGTATATGTACAAAAAATTATGCTTATAGAAGAATTAAGTGGAACAAGTGCTGCTAGTCCAAGCTGCTCATTGGTGCATGCAACATGAAGCTGCGCAGCAAAAAACTTTGCGTGTTGCTGTAATTGCCTTCTACTGCCGC